TCTCCCACGCGAAACGGCGCCGTATTGTTTGAAGACCGGTGGCTTCGCTGCGTTTCCATAGGAGCTAAGCCTTTTCTTTCTTTACTTTTTTCTCAGGTAAGTTCGCTTTTTGCAAATTTTACACAAAAAAAAAGAAAAAGCACCATCTGTGGGCAACGCTGCACAAAGTCGTAGCGCGATAGGTTAAGAAACCGAATTTTGCGGTCGATTTAAAGAGCCTGGCCTCTCCTTGAATCACCCTGTACTTGTGTTTTTCGCCTAAGTGTTTTTTGCCTAAGTGCGCGGCTGCACGGCGGCGAAGCGACTCGCAAGATCGCGGTGTCAGCTCCGCGGGTATTGCTTCTCCGCAGTGAAACAATGCTTGAGGAGAAGCGCACTCAAGGGGACAAACCCGCCGGGATGAACACTTCGAAAAGTATGAATATTGCAGTTAATTTTGAAGAGAATATCAAACAGCGTGGAAATTGAAACTAGTATTTAATAATTCTAATATTCGTGCAGCCCTAATCTTCGCACATAGTACTTAGGCATAAAAAAAAAACTGTACTTAATTTTCAGTGGCTTCGCCAAGAATGCCACGTCACGTGCCAGACACTTTCAGTTTTCTTCTTGAGAACAACTCCCTTTTGGCGCAGACATGGCGCAAATTGTGCACAAATGCAACCTTTGGAGCAGCATGTAGCAGGGTTTTTGTTCTGGCGCAGTTTGGCACAAATGGCGCAGCAGTTCCACCACTGCTATCATCTGCTAGGATTCTTCTGTTTCTTGCAGTGATTCCTGCCTGCGCCTTCAAAAGGAAATAGAGGACACAGGATTTTCTTAAAGTCTCTCAAATTAAATAAAAATAAATAAAAATAGCTGGAAATGTGTACGGCTAGAACTGAGGCTCCGTCGAAGGACTTTCCTATTCGCGGCCGCAATTCCAAGATGGCACTAGGTGGTCAAAGCCGCCGCCACACTTTCAGGCTTTTTACAGATGGCTTCAGTGTCACGGCGGTAGTTTTGCATTATATTTCAGTACGAGAAACGTCGTCCAAAGTGCGACCCAAAAACAAAAGTTTTATGTATGGCTCGTTAAAATATTAGGCATTGGAGACAATCAGCCATCTGCATTAGATACTTATTTCTAACTCTTTCTTCTCGTTCTCGTTCCTCCCATTGAAAAGCACGGCGAAAAGTCCAAGTGCGCACCTGATCTCGCCACTTCACCATACCTTTCCGAAGAAATTTATTGTGCGGAAAGAGGCGGTGGTGTGGCGTAGCAACGTGCTTGAGCTCTTTCGCCGTGCTTTTCAATTGGCAGAACGTGAACAAAAACAAAAAAATGCTGAATGAAGACTTTATGCAGATGGCTGATTATGTCCAGCGCCTAATATTTCGAGGATCCTTAACAAAAAGCACGGTCTTTTTTGTCATCCGATGGCTGTTTCGTTTTCTCCTGGAATCTAAAACTGCCCAAAAGACCTTTCCAGAAAAAGGCGTCTGGTGTGTATCCCACACTAGAGCACTGCACGGGCCGAAATTTCTAGGCCCGGCCCGGTAGAGGCACGGCCCGGGCCCGGCCCGTGCACGACAAAATAGTTAATTGCTAGGCCCGGCTCGACCCGTCTTGGAACATACACTGCCCGGGCCCGGCAAAATTTTTAGACAGAAGCTTGAGCCCAGCCCAAGCCTGAAAAAATGTTTTTAAATAAAAGCCTGAGCCCGGCCCGAGCCCGAAAGATATATACTTGAGCCCAAACAAGTTTGCGGGCTTTAACCTAAAAAAAAAAAGAACTATCTAAGCATAAAACGAACATATTTGATTTCAATTTACTTTAAACTTAAACCAAGTTTTTTTTTTCTCTTTTGAACACGATAATTATACCGATTTAGACGATGCATTTTTGAGAATATAAGCGAAATATGCACTTTAAAAGTTAGCTCGAGAGAAAAAGTGGACAATATTTTATTTACTGTATGCATTTCTTGAAGAGATATTGGACTTTTCGTTGTTCAATTCGTTTCACAGAGAACTTTCCTGTCTACGTGTTTTTTTGTTTTTTTTGTGACGAAGCAATCACAATTACACTAGTGCATCTTCAAAAGGCTGTAAAGCATAAAATGATCTATGGTAGTTAGCTTATCTTTGGTGGCATTGTAAGGCCCCCTCCACAAAGTGCAAAAATCAAGCTCAGGTTTTTTTTTGTTTTTTTTTTAGTTTACAAAGAAGAGGAAAGGCTCATCACCCTGCGACTAGAGTGCCTTCGTTTTCTTCACCGCACATTCCCAGTATGCAGGCAGAATCACATACGTTTCCTTTTATCCACGTAAAATTTCCCAAATGCGAGCCGACTTTTTTTTTTTCACGGTGCCGTAGTGATTTTGCATTTTGCTTGGTAGTTTTCATTGAACCTAAAGGATCAATGAGCACACTCTTTGTTATGAACAATTTATAATTTGCGGGACACGACTGCCCAGCCACGGCCCGAGCCCGGCTTGGGCCCGAGAAAATGCATGCTACCCGGACCGAGCCCGGCCCGCGGTCCGGCCTCGGGCTGGCCCGGGCCCGTGCAGTGCTCTATCCCACAGTGCCTGATAATAGTTACAAAAAAGCGGAGGCGAAGCAAAGTGGGTTAGGCGGACGAGGGGAGTAATGACACTTTTGGTTTGTAGGCGAGGTGGCACAAGCTACCGCACGTTACAAAGGGTGCAGCCAGTAGGATTCATCCATCCATCCGTTTTCAGCGTTTGCGCGTATGGCGAGACACCTTTTTTGCACGTCGTCAGGGCGCTGTCACGTGCCAACAAAGAACACGTTGCCATCTACATTCCGTCTCACTAAAAGCGTGCAGTACAGCCAAAGCTACAAGGGAGAGAGTGCACCACAACCTTTTCAAGAGGAGGGAAAGGAGGAACAGGAAAGAATCACGGATCACCCATAATCCGTGATCTTTGCGTGGAAAATGGGCTCCGATAAAATAAATATAGTACTGTGCGTATCTCCCTCGTATTAGCTCCAGCGCGAGGGCCGGGTGCAAAAAAATATTATTGCTACTCGAAAAAAAGCCCGTGCGTTTACTTTCCCACACAACGCTGGGAGAGTCAATCACAACAACTTACGGAGGCAGCTCATGGAATGACGATGTCGAAACACGTGTTTAGGCCAAAAACGCAGTCCGAGTTATAACATTAAGCAATGCAAAATGTCACGCTTGCATTGCTTACTGTCGCAACTCCATCAGACTGCGTTTTTCACAACTCATCAGACTGCGACGGGGGAAAGGGGGGGGGGGGGCACGAAAATGGTCACGTGACTGAACCCTGACGACACGCAAAAAAGGCGTCCCGACCTTTTTTTTTGACCGGGACGCCTTTTTTGTGGTCGCTTTCCGAAGCGACGAACGTGCCGGTCTGTGGAGATCGCCGACTGATCTGTGGATTGGTGACCATTGGAACGGTGAATGCTCCGTCTCACCTTTTGGTAGGCCTCCAGCGTACGCTACACGCCATCCCAGCACATCAAGTTCTGTGCGCGTATCACGTGATCACGCGCGCTGCACACCTTCCCGAGGAATCACGTGCCAATCACACGACATTAGATTGTCACCAATGTGGACGCCACAAAAACCAAGGCTCGTGGCTTCGAATCTGGCAGAGACACCGAACCGCAGACGAAAGTAGCAGACGAAATTGGGTGGTACACTTCCTCGATGCCTTTATTAAAGCCGTGCGCAGTTTTTTCGCAGACATGGTCCTGGAGCAGGGCTCTACTCAGTTCCATTGAAAACTACGATGCACTTGCTACACGACACGGTTACGGAAGTTCTCTACTGATGCTCAGGTGATCATGTAGTACAAACTCCGTTTTAACAGGCAGAGACAATCAACGCGAAGAAGGAGTCTAAAATAAAAATACAGATTGAATGTGCACAGATACATTGGCACGATTAAAAAAAAAAAAAAACGCATTTCGAGAGTGATCACGAATGTAACCACACACGTACAGCGCAATCGGCGAGTGCCGCGACAACAGCGACAACAATCGCTACAAGAGAATAAATGCAAATATGTAGTAAAATAGAGTATAAAAAGGGTTGAACCACGTGGAGGGTTCGAGAAAAATATATGCTGAAGTCGGGAAGCTGACAAGTCAATAATGTCTTCTTAAATCCTCGTTTGGATCGGATTGTGAAATTAAATAAGACATGTGTAATTAGAGAAAGTATCCCCCTGCACTAACCACCGATCGGCATTTCACTCCAAAAAATTTACTCGTGAAGCACGGTAGAAAGTGGAACTTTTGTTTCGCCATTTAATTACTAATACTATACCAGATTCTGTGTACGATGCCAATGGGTTCCGTCACAAGATTTTACATAACACAGAAAAGTCACCTCAATTGATAATGCTAGGCAGTAGCGTGCGTTTTAGTGGGCTGAGAAAGTTAGACATCAGAGCAAAGTATACAGCGCAGCAAATTACGCAGCATACCATATCATGTATCGAGTCAAGCGAATACACGAATACCAACTCGAATAATTTTGAATACGAAAAGGGAAATGCTCATGTAATCACATAAGACGTCGTTGCACACTGACGTATCTCAAAGGCTTTTTCGGCACACACTCTCATACACACAAAATTCAACAAAATAAGTAAAACACACTAGAAGAGGAGAAAGGAAGAAAAGAGAAGAAAAAAACACGGGTAAAAACAAACGGTACGTTGGCACCGAATACTCTCTACAAACCTGACAGACTTTGAGATGAGGTTCATGAGCAAAATTAGGACGGATAGCAACTTTACGTCTATGTTGCGCCGTCATGGCCAAGTGATCTTTGGGTATTTTATATTAAAACCAGCGGCTCTATATTTTTCTTCTGTTGCTACGCAACTCTAGAAATTGCGCGTAAGGTGGGAAAAAAAGTGCCTAAAACCATTAAAAGAATGAGAAGAGACAAAATGCTGTCTACTGGACAAACGCAAGATCGTTGCACACAAATGTACCTATCGTTTTCTTTTTTTTTGCAAAACATTGAGATGCTTACGAAATGCGGCGAAAGGAACAAAAAGCAGAAACTACGGCAGTCAAGACACAGGTTGGAATTAAAATCGGTACGGTGGCAGCAAGACCCGTCTAAAAAAACATGTAATGTCTCCTAATTGAGGGATACGAACAAAAGTTAGAGGAATAGTGATCCCCTCCCTACGGCGCACAATGTACTTGGGTATAATTGTGCACTCTAGCTAAAAAAGAAAAGCTATAATATTTTTATTTCTGCGCTACACAACTAATACTAAAATCCCATGAAATGAGCAAAAAAAAATGTATTAGACCGTTTGAACGGAAAAAATCAAGACCAGCACGTTAGCACCGAACGTACTCTACAAGACGAGATCAAGATCAGGATTAACCTCTACCTCTACATCCCGCCTCGCCCCCGTAGAGTTTAAGTTAGTTGAGAGTTTAAAAGGTGGCAAACCCTCGAACTTTAATAAGGCCTAATCAACGATCCCTCCGTTCAGGTGGCCCTTGGACAGGGCGAACGGCCCGCTGAGCATGAGGAGCCCCATGGCGGCGTCCCAGGTCAGATCATCTACGTCATCCCAGATGGTGGGCGGCAACTCAGTCTCGGAGACCAGATCATTCGGGGTGTGGGTGCCGAGGCCCTGCTCCGCGGGTCCTCCCACCAGGACACCGCTCGGGCCGGCCTCTTGGAGGTCACGGGTGGAGATGTTCCAGTAGGCGCTCGAGAACTTTCCGAGTGTGACCAGCTGCGCTGTCTTGACAGCGTCAGTCATCTGCTGCTCCGAAATCTTCGGGATCCAGATACGGTTCTTCGCGGGACGGCCGGATACTTGCCGCTCTGTTGAGAGGGAAAAAAATAACAAACACAAAATTGACATCTCGTATTCGAAGTCCGACTCACCCCTTCACTATGCGCGTAACCATTAAGCCGTGGATCCATATTGTTTACTCATCATACAACCCACAGCCCGCAGAAGACTCTGATTGAGACGTGTTTCTTTCCTGTAGGACGGTCCCGCCACACTGATCATAAAAAAGACTCTTTGCAGAGGCGTTCGAAGCACACGGATGTATGGAGCAAACACACTTCGAACATATTCTTGAGGCCGCAGGTAATTCTTTCATCGTGTCTGCAGCAACACCGTTGCTTCTGTAGGATACATTGTATGCGCAGTGCGACCTCGACTTCTAGGAACACTGCATAGAGGTCCGATAGTCTCTTTTTCTTTTTAGGAAATCAACTGACGTCTTCCTTAAGTTCTGGACCGGGTAAATTTTGAAAGCATAGAAATACTTTTTAACGGAACTTACTGAAAAACTGTCATTCAAGCATTCATACACCCAAAGAACACTCCTTTCACGCAGCGCTCACTAACAACTTTGTATTTCGTGTTTTACTTCGGCTTTTACACGAAATACAAAGTTGTTAGTGAGCGCTGTGTGAAAGGAGTGTTCTTTGGGTGTGTGAATGCTTGAATGACAACTTTTCGAGTGCGCTAAACGTCGACAAACATGAACAACCAACTCGCCCAATCTCAAATTCTTACAACTTTCTGAAACCTCGAATTTGTCTGTCTATGCCCCCCCCCCCCCCCCCCCCCCCCCCCAACGGGTAAATTTCCATCGCACGACGTTGGAGAGTCACGGGACACTACGATTTGACACCATAATATTACGTCACGTGAACAGGTCATGTGACCTCAGGCCATTTGACACCATGACGTCAATTTCCCCGCTAAATTTAGGGGGAAATGGACGTGAGGAGCCCTTACGTCTTGTTACATTACACCGAGACGGCACGGTTTCGACCCCTAGTGCCACGTAATATAACGTAGCGTGACGTCAATCGTACCTTTAAATTTAGCGAAGACATTAATAAACGAGGTAAATCTTTCACTCCCCGAAACCCCTGCTTATGTCTTCCGAAAGAATTCAAACGAACGCTCCTAAAATACTGCCGTCCACGCAATATAGATAGGTCAGCGAAGATAACACCTCGTAAACAGCTTTAAAACCTGCGCGTAACGTCACATGACGTCACGTCCGGGGGTCCGGCACGGGCGCTGATTGGATGCGAGTGCGGCGCCAGCGTTCGCGTGGGACTATGATAGCAAACGAGCACCACGGGTGAACGCTGACGCGGCACTCGCCTCCAATCAGCGCCCGTGCCGGACCCCCGGACGTGACGTCATGTGACGTAAGGCGCAGGCTTTAAAGCTGTTCGTAAAACACGCTCTTAAAACCAAAACTTAAAACCATGTGACGTAAGGCGCTGTAGTCACCGTCGAGAACTCAAGAAAGCCAGGACGTGGCATATTATGTTAATGCTTCAAGCTTCGTGATTGGTTCGTATATAACGCATATCTAATCTAAAATGTACCTATATATATCTTAACTTTCTACATAAAGGTGAAAATTAGAAATGCTCCGCGAGGAGTCGGACCTCTTTTACTACTGTTCCTGAGGCGAAGACAGGTATAATGTTTTTTACAAAAAAGTGACAGCGAACACTCAATAAATAATCTTATGTCATATGAGAAAAAAAAAGAAAAAAAGAAGAAAGTGGTTTTTAGGACATAAGAGGCGGAATAAGGCAATAACTTTGAAAGTCCGACAATTATACGTTGAGTCAACGTTGGACCAATACGTGGACACGACAAAAGCCCGAAAATATTCTGAAATACTGGACGACGCTTACACTCTAAAGATGAAAAAAAAGAGAAATTCTGAGAATTTTTTTTTGTTTTGTTTGCAGAACACGAAGACAGCCAATCGCGCTGAAACAGTGGAAGGATCACAGCAAATTAGAAAGTAGATATTACAATTAGTTGTAAAAAAAACCCAATGTGCGAAGGAGTAGTGAACAACTGAATGATGTCCATTGTCCCTGAGTAGATGGAAATGTTTTGATCCACTTGTATCCTGGGCTTCGTAACTTGCTGGCATTCTCCTACGTTTCGCCGTAATTCGTGAACTTACGTTTTACAGAAGAAAAAAAACTATCTACATACATGTTTTTAGAGTAGTCCTTGCACTTTATGTGAATATTTAGCTTCAACGTACACACGCACGAAGAATGCTAAAGTCAAATATGGGGGTTTTACGTGCCAAACCAACGACGGGCATCTGACACGCCCCAGCGGAGGACTGAGGATTAATTTCAACCACCTAAAGATCTTTTGACGTGTAACCGAAAGCTCGGCTACCACGTCGCCTTCTCCGCAATAAGTTTCCGTCCACAAAAAATGCTTGGTTAAATCGAAGGGAGCCACACTGCCCGTACATCATACAAAACACGATGTTCGCTTTCAGACATGATGACAGAATCATGTGCGGAAACTCCTCAAGCATGTCCGGAGCATGTTTGCTTTGTACGCACGTGTGCTTCGAACATGCCTGCTGACAGGTTTTGTATGACCAATGAGTTAGGAGCGTCATGCAAAAAAGAAACATGCCTCACGCAGTGTCTGTGTAATGTCTATTACGAAGTAGCTATACTCACTCAGGGGTGTGCGTTTGGTCCCAGCCTTGGTGGACCCAAGCTTCTTGGCAACGTCGCTCCCGCTCCCTGCGGAGGCGGGCCTGTCAGAACGATCGCTGTTGCCAGTGCCGATGCCGGAGTCCTCATCGGAGGAACTCCCTTCGTCGTCCGACGACGGATCTTGTGGCTTCACCTTCACGATGGCGTGCCTGGCAGCCAGGTGGCGCTCCAAGTTGCTTTTGTGACTCGTTCCGTAGGCGCAGACGTGGCATTCGAACGGCGTCTCGCCCGTGTGCACGCACATGTGGCGCGCCAGAAGGCCCTGCCTGTAGAAGATCTTTGGGCACTCGGAGCATACGAACGTCAGGGGACCTCTGCCGTCTTTGCGGTGAACCAGGTCGCGGTGTGTATCCATGGCGAACCTGCTTCCAAACTCCTGGCCGCAGCATTTTCGCGGTTTGAGTAGGTCTCCGTGTTTCCCGTTCACGTGTCGGGCCATGTTGCTACTCCGGTTGGTGCGGTACTTGCAGCCTGGGTGTTTGCACTCGATTTTGCGAGTGTCGACGTTGTCCTCATCGGACGTCTCGTGGTTAGAGTCATCGTACGACCTAAAAATTTCAGGAGAAAAAGAAGAAAAGAAAAACGGCCATCAACCAAGGCGGCCAATATTTGAAAAACACACACTTCTAATTGACTTTTTGGTCCGTGATATCTGGAGGCCCTAAGAAAAAGTTAAAAGAAGGTTCATTGGTGGATTTTTAGGGAATGCGTTAGCATGACCTTCGGGAAACGCCACACACGCCCTTCTTGGGGAAACGCTAACCCTGACCCCTTCACTTTTCTCTTTTGGATTCCCTTTTGCTACCTCTATATTTTGCTGCCCGTTATTGGCTAGGTTGCGGGGTCAGTGTTAGCGTTTCCATAAGGTCATGCTGACGCATTCCCTGAAAATCTGCGAATGAATTTTATTTTGATTTTTAATCTTTGTCGAATACTTGGTCGGGTCAGAGGTAGCATTTGGTTCACAGTCCATTTTTTTTTTTTTTTTGCACAAACCAAGGCATACGTTCCCCGCAAGTTCAGGCTCGTCCCAGTGTCCGCGCGCGCATAGTCTGAAGCCGGGGTCACTCTGCTTATATACATCATACAAAAGACAGTCTGCCAGACATCAGTCATCGCGATATCCGGGGTTCGAATGCCGCTTTAAGCGCCATGCTACATTCGAACCACGGATCTCGTGGTGACTTGCGTTCTAATCTGTTTCCAAAATATTTTTTGTATGATGTAGAAGCAGTGTGACCCCGGATTAACAATACGTCGGACGTTGCCTCGATGGGGAAGCGTCGTATTACTATGCGTGGCTACGTTCCTCATTGAGACGTATCCAAAAAGTGGTCAAAATATACGCCGGACCAAACCAATTCGGCAAAACGAAAATCGGATCCGACGTCATTGTCGAATGACGAGCGCATTTATTGCGCGCAAATCGCAACTACCACCGATTCTAAGCACCCTCCCCCATTTCAAATGTAGACGTCTAAAAAAGTTTGCATGCGAATGTAACCACATTAATTCTGCGCAAGAAATTAGAAATCGGAGACATGTGATGTCAAGTCTGCTCCCCATCAAGGCCGAGCGCCGTTGTCGCGGTCGGTCCCTGACATTCGGTTTTGCCGTCAGTTGATAGATGACGGCACAAAACGCCAATTGCGCTACCGCGCAGACGATTTACCATATAAGCGAAAATTAAAGGGGGGGGGGGGGGGGGGCGTGCAACAATATCCGGACTTCGGCCGAACATTTGTGGAAGATGCGCTCTGACACTTCTCAAGAAAAGAACAGAAAACTGACTTCGCCCTTGTATCGTAGTTGTGTAAAAAAAATAATAAATATTGGCATTTCGGGCACCCCTCAACTCACTCCCAGTCTTCAGGGTCACACCTGGTCTCCCTCCTAGTGACGTAATTCGGGGTGCCGTGTTAGCTACCCGTATGCTCTCTCTGCTGACATTAGCGGGCGTTATGCTGCAGCTTAGAGCCGAGCGAGGTCACGTAAGCTTCTCGCCGTAGTTCCTTAGGCTGCCACTCGCGGCAGCAGGGGGGGGGGGGGGGAAGCTCGACTTTTCTTTTCCCAATATGCAGCGGAATCGCGAAATTTTTGAATGAAGGAGATGTTTTCTCTATCCTTCGGGACACAATAAACAACGTAAAAACGACGAGGGACAAATTCTATTAATCTTAAAATCGTTGCAACCCCCCTTTAAGGCGTGCTGTGTTCTGTTTCCGGTCAGGCCTTTTCCTGTCTTGCAAGCGCGCCTCGTTGTTTGTTCACGACGTTCAGGCGTTCATAACTTTCCCGTCCACCACGAGCGCAAGGATGACTTCGTAATCAGTGAGCTTAAGACACGCAGTGGTGGTCCAGCCAGCTGTGAGTTTGGAGCAATTTTGAGAGCAGAAACAATCTCGTTATGGAGCACGTTTGTATCAGAAAAAGTCGCTTTTTGAGGTCGCACACACGTAAGATTACCGACAAGCATTCATGCGATCAGTTGCATGATTAAAATCAAAATTTACCAGTTATGCTGTACTTTAGTTGGTGAGAGGTTAAAAGTGGAAGCTCCTTCCTCCTCTTTCCACTTTTGCTGAGCGAATGCTGGAGAGGTCCTCCTCTCCCGCGGTCTTTCCAGTGATGCCCGGCTCGGGGCCGGGCATCACTGGAAAGACCGCGGTCATCTGCGGGCCGGATGGAGCGCGTCCGCGGACCGGGGTTTCGAGACCGCTGCTCTAGATATGGAGGTAAATTAGGACCATATAAAGTCTTATCACAGGAAACGAGCAAATAATCAATAAAAATATTCTGGGTTTTCCCTAATGTATAGACATTTTAACAAGTTGCAGGATCGAGGATGCAGATAATTTGACGCGAAGAAAGGCAACAATTCGTAACCAAGCAGTCCCGACCAAGCATGCTAACGAAATGGGAGCCATGCGCGAGCACATTTCTCTAAAACAGTGTCACGCATCCTAACACGAGCCTGCGTAAAAAAAAAAGGGTTACTTGTGCTTGCTAATCTTCTTTAGTGCGCTTCGAAATGCAACTAAAACTGTTAAGACTGCGGTATGTTAGGAATGTCGGTAAAATTGATGGGAACCCTTCGAAACAATGCCGCTATGGTGACTGGAAGGGAAAGCGTGACGGGCGCCTTAAGCGTGCAGTGATAAAGAGAGACGCGAAACGCGATGAAAATTTTCAGAGAGCCTAGATTGTAGAGGGCGTCCATCTCCAACCATGGGGAGCGTTTGCAGTTTAATGGCGGACGCCACCGGTGAAAATTGGTCGCAAGTGCGCTTGGAGGAAAGCGGGCGGAGAGGCTGAGGCACTCGCAGGACGGCCAACGTGTTGTCTCCTCGTTGCGGCTTGTATTGCAAACACGGCCCATGCACCACGTGACCGTCATCGTGCAGTTGGAAACTCTCTTCAATGTAGGCTCTCAAACTTTTCGGCACCGCTGGACTCGTCTGCTGGCTGCAACGCCCCTAGCTGTCCCCAAACATTTCTTCGCGGAATTTTTATCGCGGGATTTAGGTGCACGACCATATTCAACGGAAGAAACGTGCACAATTCATGTATCTACAAGTGGACAATTTCCAATTGTAGAAATCGGAATTATGTCGCTACAAAAACCTGATTCAAAATATAGAGAAGCTATGTGACCTTTCAACACAGACGCTGCGGGCAGCGCGTGTGTTGCAATGAAAATCTCCGTCACCGCAAGGGGCGCTGCAATCTGCAGGCGAGTCGCTTCCATCACAACTGTGCGCAGCCCTTCGCTCCCGTCCATCACACTTTCCCTTCCATCCACCATAAAGCCGCGGAGCCGGAAGCCTCATGGCCCGCCCGGCCGCCTAGGCTAACAAAACCTTGCACCCTGCCGCTAATTAAATCTACCTGTACGCTTTAAACACCAAAATACCAAGAAAAAAAGTACTTAGTTTCGCAAGTCGACCGCAGCTCGAAACACGTCCGCTCCCGCCAGACCCCACCGGATTCCCACGGTTGCCAACTCTTCCAAAAACCAATTTGTTCGCAGATTTGTTCGCCTTGGCGCAGTTGGGAGGAATTAATCCCTTTGAGCCCAGTGAGGCGCAGGCAAGCGGGAATTTATCAAAATGGCGGAACTGGACCGCCCTTGTGAACGGTGAGCACGGACGCGAAGGACAACGGGAACCACGGCGCTGGGCAGCTTCTGTGATACGGCGGAAAAGGTAGCGGGAGTCGATGTCCAAGGGCACATAAACAGAGTTCGGGACCGCGCAGTGGCGTAACTAGGGTCAGCGGCACCCGTGGCAGTGGCCCGCCGCTACCCCCCCTTCCCCCTCCCTCCTTTCACTGGCTAGCTACACAGCTCTGACCGCTGCACCTGTGACGGTCTCCCTACCCCCTAGTGACCACACTGGGACCGCACATTGGTGCAAGAGCGGCCATCCGGAACTCGAGAAAGAAATCGGCGAGTTTGTCCACAGCGAAAAAAGGGGGCAACCGAGGGCTCGTCCAGTCGTAGTAGAGAGTGAAATAGGTTACTTTATGTTTGGTCAAATAAAGGCGAGAGAGAAGAGGTCAAAGAGCTACCGGCGTTTTCCCCCTTGTTGACATTTTAGAAAGTCCCTGATTTGAGGCTACGCCGGTCTATGCATTGCCCGAACATCAATCGCGCTTCTGTTTTAAACTCCCAAAGTTAAGTAGAGCCACGGGCTATGATGGCTACAATCCCCGGTCATTGGCACACCATTGCTCGGTTATAGGGTGCACGAATACTGTCGGAGGACATATGCAGCTTGCACGGAATCTGGCAAGGTGAGTGCGGCAGCAATGGCTTTCGTAGACCGCGTTTCCCTCTCCGCTAAGCCCTCCGCAACGAAGAAGACGCTACTGCGCCTGCGCGCCGATGGTCCTGGCTGTAGAGTTCCGGGTATCGTAGCGTGTTGCGAAGAGCATTGTGGGAGGCGAAAACATTAGCGAGTTTTAGTAGACCGTGTTTCCCGCTCCACTAAGCCCTTCCGCTACTCGGAGCTCTACAGCCAAGGCCATCGGCGCGCAGGCGCAGTGGCGGTTTCTTCGTAGAGGAGGGCTAGCGGAGCGGGAAAATAAGGAGTTGTAGTAGATCGTTTTTTCTCCTCCGCTACGGTATCCCCGAAGAAAACGCCGCAGCTGCGCATGCGCGCCGCCAGCCTTGTCTGCATAGTTCAAGGTCTTGTGGCGGATTACGGAGCGCTATCCGGGTGCTTAGCGGGCTGCGGAAACGGTCTACTACGATGGACCTTTTTCCAGTACGGAGCGCCTCATGACGGTTTCGCCGCCTACTACAAATGGAGGGCAACCGGACTCGCCTTCTCCCATGGAAACAGATTAGTGTCGCAAGAAAACAGTGCCCCCCAAGAATGGCGAAAGGGCGGTCAAGGGAAAAGGGTGTGCGCGTGCGCAGACGCTTACTGGAAAAACGTCCATTCCCTAATTTACGAAAACCCCCTATTGTGGATTGCGTCCGTAAACTGAACACACTTTTCCCCAACGCCATCCTCTCGGCTGTGCTAGGGACATTTTGTGAATG